CTTTGCAACAAGGATCTAGAATTTTCGTGGGTTTTAATTTACATTAAAAGTAGATAGTTTCTTAGCTACATCACCTGCTACGGGTGTCTGAAAAGTAAATTTATGATAAATATTAAAATAAAACTTGTTCCGACGTGCTATAGAAAACGGAAAGGCAAACAATAAGCAATGCAATAGAGCATCACGAAATGGCATGCACACGATTCTTCAAGCAAAACACACAGCAACATAACTGGGTCAGGTGATAAGATCAAACAAAGTTTAGCATTTTTTTATATCAAAAACTTACTTTTTTGATATCTAATAATACTTTCCTTCATCTTTTCTCACTGTTTGGTTATTTGGCTTTGTGACAAATGTGCCTTGAGTCATTAAAATAGACAATCGTTTCACTTATGAAGTCGACATATTTGAAGAAAAGGTTACTTTCGCGCTCTACTGATCTCGAAATCAAGAAAATTTTTGGATTATAGTGTGAAGATTCTAATGACGCCGTTACACTTAACTCAGCATGAACGATTTTTTTGTATTTCATTTGATTTTTTTTTAATCTTTAACATTGCCTGCGTGATTCAGATACTACGCCCTAACCTAAATACGCCTCTTTTGCTTTTGGCAAAATAATTTTTTGTTTTCTTTTTATTATTAATGGATGACAATTTTAATCGATTTTTACTTTTAATTTGAAAATTTTTTTTCCGATAATTTTATCGTTATAATTTTCTTCGAATAACTGATTCTAAAGGCTAAACTATTTAAAGGGTGTTCTTTCAGAATGAAATTTTTTGGGAATTTCCCTGAAAAATTGTTTTAAAAATACAAATAATTAATATTAAATTATGATGTGCTGTTTTCGTAATGAATTTTGATGATCAAACATCATCAGATATGTTTAAATGCATGTTATTTTAGGTAGAACGTCCATTTTTGTTGATTAAATGCAGTCCAAAATTCGACTTAATTAATTAAACAGTAATTTAATATTTAATTATTATTTAAATTTATAATATTCAAATTTTATTTTTTGTTATAGTTTCTTGATAAATCGAAATTCGTACAGAAATAAATTAGTTTATAGATATTATTATGCCATTTTGTATTATATACAGGCCTATATTTAAGTTTTTAATTTATAACAATCAAAATAATATTACTGTAAAGAAACTGTTAGTGGAACAAAAAACGAAATCAAATCTAAATAGGAAGAAACAAATACATTTAGTTTGGTTGAAAGCCAAACCCACGACTTTTAGTAACTGTCAATATGATCTAATTATCTAAGATATAGAGAAATATGCATTTTGCATTCTAAATTTTATTTTAAAACCAATTAAATTAATTTTAATCCTATCATAATAAGATGATTACGGATTAAGAACAAACCTCAGAAGAATAATATAGAAGATTCCAAGAGACCATGAACACGAGAAGATTAAGTGATAAGGATGCAATAATAATAATAATAAGAATAAGAATATTAAGAATTAAGAATGTAGGAATAAGAAGAAATTGCGGCTAAAAGTAAAGGAAATTTTTGCTGAGGAAATCTTCAGCAGCGAAGAAATCTTGAGAGAAGAAGAGACAAATTTATAAAATGATTAAAATTCCTTACACCCTAGGATGTAAATAACGTGTTTGTAGACGTGATTCTTATGCTAAATTTTAAAATTTAGGGTGTTATTTTTCATTAACAGCTCTCAACAGTTCAGCAAACTTAAGAATATATAAATTGAGTGAGTGTTTGATCAAGAATAGAACAAAAGAACAAAATATGACGAGAACCGAAACCAACGTTATCTTTCAATAATCAATCACAAAGAAATGTCAAAATGAAGAATGAATTTCTAATTAAAATACCAACAAAATATTGACAAAATAATATTTTTTTTTGGTTGTTTTTTGAATTAAGAAGATACGCTAGAGATAATTTCTCTATGTGAGACTCTGTTAGTGATATCCGTGGACAAAATCTCGAAAGAGAATTTTCAGTTTAAGTGACTGACCGCGTGAAACCAACCATGATCTAGAACCCGTTCTCCATATTAAAGAAGGTAAAAATCAACGAACAGACCCGCAGTCTGTGAAACCAGTCGAGGGGCCTCTTAGGAAACGATTTTCTTTAATACTTATAACAATAATAACTTCAAAAAAAACCTTATGAAAACTTCCGTCTTACAACACGATATCGTGACATTGATGTTTAAAATATCAGTTTTTACATGTTTTGTTTCATCACTAGAATTAATTTTGCTTGTCATAATTTATGATGTAATTAGAAATATAATCAATTTAATACCCATTTTCAACTGTGAGTATGTTCCACCTGCTAAAATCTGTCAGAATTTTTAACATATAGGTCAATTGCATAACCTAAAAAACCATTGATTTCGCTGTTATTGTCTGAAAATGTTTGAAACGTCAGTTTGTCTGTCTGCTGGACTGTAATTCCTGTTTGATATTTCGGATATTATAGTGACTCAGGTCATATTAATTCCATAAAAGGCAGTTATAAGTTAAAACGTAGTTATTTAATACACTAATTTAAATATTACAAAATAATATTTAGAATTTTTAACAATATATATATGCATATTTGCCGTTATAAATATATAATTTTAAGATTTTTCTAATGGTTTCCTATTTAAATTATATGTAAGATGTATTATAATTTCTGGCTGATTTTATGCTCATTTCTTATGTAAGCCATGGCCAATAGTATATCAGAAAATGGCCCAATTTCTAATACACAAATGACTATTAAAAATTTAAATATATATTAGAAAATGGGCCAGAAAACCTGCTTTTTGTAAATTCTCACTCACTCAAATGTAAAGAGAGGAAGTATTACAATTCATTACAACTACAAAAGCAACAAAGACAAAGGCGAAGCTCTCATTTCTTTTGTGTAAATTTAATGTAAAAGTGATGATTATCTTCATAATTTCCACCCTTAAGACAAACATATCTTCTATTATTTTAGTAATAACATTGCCTTAGTAACTAGTGCCATAACTCAAGTCTTTAGTGAAGCTGAAATTTGGATATCATTTCATAAACTTTATACATTAATTTTATATAAAAACACTTTAAAATTATTTTTTTAAAATGTATTAAAATGTAAATTTTGCGTAATATATAAAATTAATTTTTAAAAAAATATCCGCTATTTTTCGAAAAAGTTACTGGGTGTCGATCATCACTTTAATGAAGATGATTAAAAGTTCTAAGAACTTTATCATCAAACAATATTTTCAAATTAAATTTTAAATGTTATATTATTTGAAAAGATATTGTTTCTTGATATTTTATGAACCGCATCGTGTTTTTTTATTACTAGACAAAATCCAAGGACAAATATTTTTGTTCATTTCTCATGCGGAAGCTCATACATTGCATTGTATAAAACGACTATTTTAAAGGTACAAAAGCTTAAAACCTTCAGGGAAATTACTTGTAACGTGCTACCTTAGTTATATAGCTTTTAAGAAAGATTATAGACCCGATGTAGTCCGACGAACTTGCAATTTAAAAAACAAGAATTTTTCTACTTCCGTATTTTCTTGCCCCATGGCAGTAAACGCCGCTAGTTGTGAAGGTCGGTAAAGTCCTCATGCCAAGTAAAGGTGAATGACCTCCACCAAAATAAGATATCGAAAATTTTAACTTTTGTCTACAACTCTATGCGTTTTCACACAGTATAAAACATTATCCACGGTTAATTTACCGTTATTTCGTTTACCATAATAAAAAATCCAATAGGATCGTGTGTGTAAAATTACGGTTAATTTATTGAACGCTTGATTTATTTTCTAAACTCGTTATTTTCTATAAATTACTTGTTTTTTTTATTTATTTTTTGCTAAATATTTAATAATTTACAAGATTTGGCAACATATCGAAGAGGAAAACAAGACTACTTTCGCCTCTACAAGTCATCTGTGACATTTTGATGTCCTAATTGATAACGTTTGCGATATTTCCGAATATCGTCCTATATATAGAGACAAAAGAGGTGTTATTAAAATTTGGGACATTCGAATTAAATTTATTATAAAAACATTTCTCAAAACTAAGCTCATTATATACTTTTAAGAACGTCCTAAAGGTAGTTTGGTAGAATAGAGAATAAACTAGCTACTACTGCTGCACCACCCTTGTTTGCCTTGACTAGTTTCAAATTATTGTCTCGTCATTCAATTCACCTTTTAAGGTGACGTGCTGACGCCACGTTCCCTGTTTGGTATTTCCTATACGCAACATGTACAACTGAATCTTTATTTGTATAAGTGACATACGCGGAATCACGCACTGACGTGACTTTTGTCACTAATAACAGACTTTAAGATGATATCTGTTGCCATTTTACAACTCATAATATCTGATTATTGAAATCCACAATCAGATATATTCTGTGTCCTTGAATAAATAGGAAGTTTACAGTGGGATGGATACATAGCAGGAAGGTGAACTTGAAAAGGGATTTTATAAAATAATTATGTTGTATTTTTAAAAACTATCTTCGAAATTAATAAACTATTATGTTCTTTCTTATCTAAAATACAATTTCCTTTATTACATATTTCTAAATATAGTTTTTTTAAATATGTTAAATCTTCCTCCACCTCTNTTTAAAGTATTTTTAAAATAATAATAATGAAAATAGGTTTTCGAATACATGAATCATCACAATTTTTCTATATTATTTTCTATGAATCATTACGATTGCACAATGTATTATAAATTATTTTTTGACCTATCAAAAATGATTATTTATTGAATTTTTAATAAATATTTTTCAGAGGAATATTCCTGTATTAATACGAGTCACTGATATCAATGACAATGCACCAATATTTAAAGAAAATTCATATTCCTGCTCCGTATCTGAGGTACAATTACGAAAATAAAAATGTATTTTTTGAAAGTTTTGATCCCATTTTTACGAAAAAACTAATTATTTAAATTCATTAAAATTTACACTATAATATATATATTTTTTTAAAACGAGATGGTGCCATGGATGTAAGTTGCGATCATTTTTTATGATTTTTTTAAATGAATTTTTTAATATAACTCTTTAGAAAATTATATATAAAGTAACTAAAAATTGTAAAATAAAGTTTAATTTTTGCACATAATGTTATTGTTTACAGTGTGTGAAACTGAAGGAACAGATAGTGTTATCATCCTTGATATAACTGAAAGCAGAGGCAACAGTAAGTTGACATTTTATTATAACGACACTTTTTAATGTAAAAATTATAGAGGATATTTTAGAAATAAAATGCTTCTTTAGCCTATATCAATGTCTAGATCCACGAATTTGCAATATTCAACTACTTGTTTCATCCCAATGACCCAAACATCTTGGACGCAAAATCAGATTTATGCACTATTTTAAAAACTGCTTAATTTATTTTAAAAAAACCGAGCTTATTTAGATTATTTTATAAAAATTAAGCAGTAATTTAACTTATTTTGGTATATAAACTGACGAACCTCAACCACTTTACCATCCTACCAACTGAAACTGAGAATAGAAAATCAGATTTAATCACTAATATAAGTTAAGGAAGTATTTAAATTCTAAAAAATCGAAGCTTATATAGATTATTTATATAAGTTAAATAGCAATTTAACTTATTTTGGTACATAAATCTATGAATTTAAATCTTCAAGCACTGTGCCATCCTAGTAAATCAAACGTTGAAGATTAAAATTCATAGATTTTAGCACTAATATAAGTTAGGGAATTGTTTAAACGCTAATAAAACAATGCTTATATAAATAATTTTTAGAAGTTAAACAGTTTTTTTAACTTATATTAGTATATAAATTCGTGAATTCGCGACCCACAACCACCTGTCTGCCATTCTAGTAACCCAAACGTTGAGGTCGATGGCTTGTCACGTAGGAATTGAATTATTTTTCTTTTTTATTGTCATGAATAGGTAGAGTAACTGCGTGAAGAGGAAAAATAGAACGTATACGAGACCTAAACATGTTATCTCCATATCAGTTTTCCAATTTAACTCACCACACATAACTTAAAAGAGAAAGCTGTAATTATTATAGCGAAATTGCTAAATTCTCATTACTTTACGACACGCACAAATTAAGTAATCTTTGTAATTAAAACCGTGATATGAAAATAATATGAATTTAAACATAATTAATAAATGAATTTTCTTATAAATCTTTTTAAAATTAATCCAATTTTAGGTACTGATCAAGTTACTGTTCCTTCTGAGCTTCCTATACGTGGCGATTTGAATCAAGTGGAATTAACGATTCAGTCAGCTACACGTGATTATTTTACCTTAGAAGGGAAGAAACTGCGATTGAAACGACCGTTAGACAGAGATGTAAATGAATTTATGACCTTATTCTTTATGAATATTTAAAGATTGGTGACCTTTCAACTCTACTAAACTGCACTTTTTCTAATTTCAGTCAGACGAAATTACACAGATACGTTTAAATATCATATGTCGCGAATTATCAACGTCAAATCAGGTAATTGTTTGTAATTTATCGTGATAATTAATAATTTAAATATGATCTTTAATAATCATAATTAAAGAACTGTTCAGTTATTATTTTATGCAATTTGTGATGAAGTTAATAACGATTTTTGGCATATTTAATACGTTATAAATTAATTTTTAAGTAGGTTTAATAATTATTTGTATGTTTACTTGAAAATTTAAGGTATTTGCAGTGAATTATATAGTTTATAATACTGGGAATTATAATAGGAAATTTTTTATTCATTTGTAGAATTTCAATAGAGTTTGCGTGGATCAGCGATTTTTATACGCAATTTTTAGTTATAAATACGGAATTTAAGTCATGAGAAATTTAAGTCATTAGTAGGTATTTTTAATCATGTATAAAACTAAAGCAAATAGATAATTTGCATAAATAGGGATTTTATAGATTATATTCACATTTAAACAAAGAATTTTCGTCACATATATTTACAGTCGACTCCCTTATAACACTGTTGATAATTCCGTTTTATATGAATTCCATGTTGTATGAGTCACTTAGATTTTACAAATACGTGTGCCGGGCTATGAACGGCTCACGTATTTGTATAATCTAAGTGACTCGTACAACATGGAATTCATATAAAACGGAATTATCAACAGTGTTATAGCGGGTCGACTGTATTGTAGTTCTGTAAATGACAAAAAATTTTCTTATTTACGATTGAAATTACTTATAAAAATATTTCGTTAATGCAAACTATATATTTACTATAACTCCTTACATTATAAATCTTTAAAATTTCTTATAAAATTTCTCATTTATGTTAAGTGTATGGGCTAACAGTAAATATATAATTTGATGTGTATGGGATTATTATAAATGATTTTCACTTATAAATAGGAGATGTTATATATTCACAGGGCTAAAGTAAATACAAAGTCTGCATAAATGAAAGATTCTGTAAATAATTTTCAATCATAAATAGAGAATTTAATTCATTTGTGGGGATATAGTGCATACATAGTTTGCATGGATGGGAGATTTTATAAATAATTTATATTTATATTGAAAAATCATTTATTTTTCTATTAATTTTCATCAACTAAAACTTAAATTTAGGTCAAAAAAATAATTATTCAAATAGAAAATTTAATTGAGTACGTTCATTATATTTAACCTAAAATTCTATATTAATTACAATTGAAAGCATTTTTTTAAAATAAATTTTAGCCATTTTCAATATTTAAATTTTACACATTTTTATATCAAAATCCGAAAATAATTTCATAATTTTATTTAAAGTATTTTTAAAATAATAATAATGAAAATAGGTTTTCGAATACATGAATCATCACAATTTTTCTATATTATTTTCTATGAATCATTACGATTGCACAATGTATTATAAATTATTTTTTGACCTATCAAAAATGATTATTTATTGAATTTTTAATAAATATTTTTCAGAGGAATATTCCTGTATTAATACGAGTCACTGATATCAATGACAATGCACCAATATTTAAAGAAAATTCATATTCCTGCTCCGTATCTGAGGTACAATTACGAAAATAAAAATGTATTTTTTGAAAGTTTTGATCCCATTTTTACGAAAAAACTAATTATTTAAATTCATTAAAATTTACACTATAATATATATATTTTTTTAAAATTAAATCTTCAAGTTAGTGGACATTTTCTTTCATTCTTCTTCCTTCACGTAAATAATAACAGTTATATATAGTATTTATTTAATTTATAAAGTACATATGTTTATAAATACGGGATATGAACAATCGATAGACACGTTTTACGTGGATTTTGGGTTCGAATCCCATGCTTTATAGTAGGGAATTTGTTTAGTTTAACGAGATTTAGGATCTTTGATAGATGTGAAAAATGCTCATTAACTGTGATCAGTTAATTAGGTTATATAAAAATATTTTAAAAAAAATTTATTTTGAATTTTTCAGATATATTTTTATGTAAAAATGTTGTAGAAAATAATTATTATTTAGTTATTTTTGTAAAAATGCTAATAGTTTTGTAGATAATAACATGATATATGCTTTTCATATGACCCAAGAATATATACTTTATTATTATTATTATTTTATGCAAATATTATTGGATTATTATAGAACAAATTTCTTTTATTTTTCTGTTATTTTCGGTTACTCGTGACAATGATTTCTCGTTTACTGCTTTTCACCTATCGCGATCTTTTGTAATCTAGTTTAAGACTTCGTTTCTGAAGTCACTTCCTTTTAAAACGTGACAACTTCCTTCAGTTTAAAAGTTTCCTTTTTATTTAGGCTAATCTACATAATTTATTAACAAATTCCATCTACTATAAATAATTTTCATCTGAAATTATTGTTAGACAATCCTTTAAATGTGCACTTTTTACAGCAATTTGCCATTTAACTTAGAGATTTATGCATAAATTACTTATTTTGAGCAGAAGTTAATAAATTCTTATTTTTGGATGATTAAATAAAATCCATATAAAAAATTAACAATACGACAAACAGACGTGATGGTAATGATGCTCTTGTAATGATTTAATTCAGTTATAATGTAATTAATTAGGGGATCAAAACCTTCTGAATTATAAATTAAACACTTTTAAACTTAAAAATACTTAATATATATGTTTTTAAATCATATTTTAGTTAGCACCAGTAGGAACAACCATATTTAGAGATCTTTCAGCAATCGATAAAGATGCGAACAACAATGGATTAGTGGAATATTATACAGTTAAAGGAGATGGCACTCATGTGAGATATAATTAATAAATTAATTTACACATTTATTACCATTATTTATAATTTACATACCTTATTTATATTTAAAATACAGCATGATGGCTACAGAAGTTTCGCTATAAATTTGCCATATCAAGGATTGGTAACAGTGAATAAATCTTTGGATTATGAAAGTACACAGAAATATTACCTTACCATTCAAGCAGTGGTAAAAATATAATTTTTGCCATAAAATATCTTTTAAATTTTATTTAAATTACGAATTTTGAACGATAGTATATTTCAGGATAGAGCAGACAGACCAGAAGATCGTCTTACAGCTACAACTACTTTAACGATCTTCGTAGAAGATGGAGATGATCAAGATCCTGCATTTCTTCATTCAGGATGTACTTTTGTTAATAATGCTTGTGTAAATGTGGAATATACAGCAGAAGTAACAAGTGGTGCTTTAGTAAGTCGACAATTTCTATATTTTACTTAGAAGAAAAGAATAAAAAAAAAAGTGGAGTGGTTTGCTTGGTTTATTACTTGTATCCTTGAAAGCTAGCGAGACTCGGATGTGCAATCTTTGTGGCTTCAGGCGCTAACTAAGCACTGTAATTATTAAGTAGATGATGATTCTACTTGACTGAATCCACACGCAAATTTGCGTGGATTTTGTTTTTCCGGTATTTTGGGCGTTAGTCATATCCGCCATTATCTGGTTCCGCCTATTTTTAGACTATGCTAAATTATCAAAACTTCCCTAATAAATGTAGAGTAAAATAGACTTCTTTTTAATTGTATGTAGCACAAGTTATGAAAATATAAATAGATATTATTTATGCTGGGTTGTGCTACTATTACTGCTATTTCTGCTACTACTGTATTATTGTTCTGCCATTGCTAATATTGTGTTACTAATGCTACTACTATATTACTTCTGTTAATACTAGTACTGTTGTAAATACTAGTACTTGTAATGTTAATACAGTATATCAACTATATTCTAACACTAGTGTAGCACAGCTGCTGCTTATATCGTTACTACTATTGTTATTACTACAACTATTACTACTGCTGCTATTTAATGGAATTTAAAGATATTTTTTCATATTTTTTAAACTTCATGTTTACATCAATACTTAATCTAATAAAAAATCAATGAGTGATCTTTCCAGTTTTATTCCTGTTCTTGCACTTCATTATAGCTTAATCTATTCAGAATCTTTGAAAATATAAATTTTTTTATAAATGCATAAATAAATTATAAATATTTCTTAAAAGTAGAATAATTTTCTATATAATAAAATACATAACTTAATATTGGTTTATTGAATATAAATAAATGAAAATGGTTTAGAAAAAATCTTATTAAGTTTAATTTATAAGAATATATTCATAAAAAATATATTTATTAATTTTTAAAATGAATTACAATTTAAATTTTTATTTACTTTTATAAAATAAAGCTAAATCAACTAACTAAAATTTTAATAAATTTTAAAATTGGTTTTATTAATCACTTCGAAACAGTCAATATTTTTTAAAAATTAAATTANAAAATATTACTGCAAATTCAAACAATTTTTTCTGAAAAAAATTTTTGGTTATTAAAATATAACTTAAAAATATAAAATATTTTAATACTTTAATTTATAACAATTTTTAGTATTTATACTACATATTAAAATACTTTATATAATATAAATTCTATATATACTTGGTAGAATCACAAAAATATAAATTTATGTACTTTTTTAATATAAAGATATCTTATTTTTCGTTTAGAACAATAGTAATATTGTTGCTATTACATTTCTGTAAGATAATATACTTTTGACTGTTAATGATAATATAAATATTAAGCTTGTTAAATTGTAGATAAAAGTATAAGTAGGAGCACTTAGTTAATTAGGGATTTATTTAGTTTGTTTCTCTTCTCTTATCTATTTAACAGAGCATGAAATCTCATTAAATTTAAGAGTTTGACCTTCCTGATAATTTATTCCATAATGATCTTCAACAGGTTTTATTGGCATATGAAAATTAACCACAAAATTGCAGAAAAAATACATTCTTTTTTATATCTGTATGGAAATAATATTACTTAAAATTAATTTTAAAATATAATAATTATTATTATTATTTTAGGCGGGAATCCTTAAAATCCGTCCTGATAATATAAAAGCCAAAGATAGAGATTCCTTAAATTCACCGATTAAATATAGTTTCGTTAATGGTAAGATAATGATAAAATAGTTAATCATTAATAATGATGTTGATGGTGATCACGAATTATTTCTTCATTTCTTTTAGGTACACCTTTATTTTATTCTGAATACTTCCAAATAGATCCAAAACGTGGTAATATTCGACAAATAAAAGCTGTTGATCGAAGCGTATCTAAAATATTTAGTATCATTATTAAAGTAAGTTTACTTTCTGTTATATATTTCCATCATTAATATGGACATTTGTTTAAAAATTTACTCGTTTTTCTGAAGGCCGAAGAAGAAACCGAAGGCAAAAGATTCACCACAGCTAAATTAACAGTTGACGTTCTACCTGTTGATAATAATCCACCGATTATAACACCAACTGCACTTATTGGTTACGTTGATGAAAATTCTCCTGTAGGAACTACAGTAGTTACAGCAAGAGATGGCAAAGAACCATTGAAACTTGTGGTTACTGATGCGGATATAGTATGTCAAATATCAAATTCAGTAAATATTTATAAGTTATTACAACTTCCAAAATTTAAGATTCTTCTGTATTGCAGGCTCCTGATGATCCACCAGTGGAATACATATTCGAACTGACTACAAATTCATTTCGAGTGAATGCTGATGGTTATTTAGTAGTAAATGAAGCTGAATTAGATCGAGATCCGCCAAATCCGAGTAAATATACATTTCAGGTAAGCAACGGGCGAGATTTAAACTAGTTCTCAATGAATATATGATTCTAAAAATGCTAATTTTGCAGGTTATAGCTAGGCAGGTTAACAGTACAAATGGAAGAGGTGCGAGCGCTCCTATTACACTCAACGTACACTTGAATGACGTCAACGATAATTCCCCTCGTTTACCTTCCTTGTCGCCTGTTCGCATTCAAGCAGGGGAGGGAGTTCGACCAGTTACACAAGTAAATAAGACATTTTTTATAGATTAAGCTATATACTGGCTTATTAATTATAGCTTACCTTTTATCTTTAAAAAAAAAATATTCTTTTATTCAGGTTCAAGCTCGAGATAATGATGTAGGAGAGTTTGCTAAAGTTACCTATTCGATTTATCACGTATCTAATAATGGTATGAGTAAATTTAGAGTAGATCCTGATTCAGGTCACATACAAGTTGTGGATAAAGTTGTTGCTGGAGAGCAATACAGTATAACCATACAGGCAACTGATACTGGAGGAAGGTAATATTATTTTAATATAAAATTATGAAAAACTTCAAATAAATTGTAAACATATTGCTAGATATTTTAAAAGATATACAATGGATTCTTGATATAGTCTTCACCCGATATAGCAAACATTCCATATAACGAAACATTCGCTATATGGAATGTTCGCTATGGAATGTATGGAAGAGCGCTCTTCATTATACACGTAGTAAACGTCTGATACAGTGAATATCTTTAGCTCAGTCCTCTGATAATTCCCAATATTAAGAGTTTACTATGCTTTAATTATTTGTTTAAAATGTTTAAACATAACAATGGATTCATTCGATACAGTGGATAATTTCTTGCTGTTCGTTCTTGTTATACTTGAATATAGAATAATCTAAATGTGGAAACCCTTGTATAAACAAAAATCGGTTGAAAACAGTGATCTAATGTCTCAACATAAAATTTATTAAATTTTATTATATATTAATTTTTTAAATTATTTATAAATGGAAAAAAATGTTTTAAGCTCGAAAATTGTTAATTTTATAAATAAAAATGCCATTTTTCCAAGGAAAGGTAAAAAATTCAACTATTAAAATATATTTAATGCTATATTTATTAATGTATTTTTTTTAAAAAACTTAATTAATTTAATTTTTATTAAATACTATTTAAATTTAGCAGTTGTTTTAAAAAATATATAATTAAATTTCTGTACTGATTAAAAGTTATTGAGTGATTTATTAAAATAAATACAAAATTTTATAAATAATTTTATTGAAAAATTCAGGAAAAATATAAAATTAATACATGTTTTTAAATATATTAACTTAGGATTTGTTGATTTATTAATTATGAAATTTTATTTAGTAGATTTTGTACATGTCAGTTAAACAATGATAAATTTATGTACAGTACTTTTTTACGTAATTTTATAATTAATTTTTTTGGTAAATTATGTGCTAAATACTTAACTTTATATGTAAACAAATATTTCTTTTAAGAGAGGTTAAATTGAGAAAGAAGAATTGCATCAGAGAAATTTTGTAATTTTTTTTTTTTTGTAATATTTTCAAGGACATTTATTTCATTTTAAAAATAAATATATTTTCGATATTATTTTTAAAAAATAAATTTAACATGTTTATATCAGAAATCATAGAAAATTACTTTTTTTTTCAAAGAGCAAAATGTAAAAAAAAAATTCAAAATAATAAATTCTTGTAAAATTGTAAAACCTTTATAAATAATTTATTATTTTAAATAAATCAAAAATTATTTTCTGATAAAAAGTAATAATAATTTATTGAAAAATTTACTATTTTAGTATTTTAATAAAAGTAATATAATTACGTTTTATCTTGATAGAGCGTCTTCTTTATAACGCCATCCTCAAAGTGCCAATGATTATTCGGAAATGATTATTCTCATAAATATTAAATAGAGGATCCTTCAGCATATGTGAATTACTAAATGTAGAAGTTCACGTTGCAAACCACATTGTTATAATCGAATCATGTGACCTATAAACACTCTAACCTGTGTGTTGATCTCGTCACTGTATGTGTATGGTGTACTTTATGTAGTGAACTCTTTATATAGTGAATGATTTAGATAGTCAAAACCCTCAAAGTTCACTATATTGAGACTCCACAGTAATTCTTGTTGTTTAGCAGTACTTTTATTTAGTGTCAGAGACAAACAAATGGTGATGGTAATATA